CGCCACCATGCCCAGCTGAATTTTTGTATTTGTAGTAGCGACGGGGTTTCACCATGTTGACCAGGATGGTCTCGATCTCTTGACCTCGTGATCCACCCGCCTCGGCCTCCCAAAGTGCTGGGATTACAGGCTTGAGCCACCGCGCCCGGCCGTATCACAACTTTATTAAGTGTATTTTTTAAACAACTTTATTATTTTTTTTTCTGTTTTGTTTGTTTGTTTTGAGACGGAGCCTCGCTCTGTCGCCCAGGCTGGAGTGCAATGGTGCGATACCAGTTCATTACAACCTCCGCCTCCTGGGTTCAAGTGAGTCTCCTGTCTCAGCTTCCTTTGTAGCTGGGATTACAGGTGTGCACCATCATGCCCATCTAATTTTTGTATTTTTAGTAGAGATGGGGTTTCACCATTGTTGGTCAGGCGTGTCTTGAACTCCTGACCCCAGGTGATCCACCCACCTCGGCCTCCCAAAGTGCTGGGATTACAGGCGTGAGCCACCACACCCATAATAGTCAGTGTTACCATTAATGTCAGTGTCACTTTGGGGTATGTACTGTGTCAGATGCTTGCAGAACATTTACGTGCATTCTTTCATTTAATTGAACAATTCTAAGGAGAATAATTGGCCCCAATTTACTGATGAGAAACATAAATCTCATTAAAAAACAAAAATTATCTGGACATGGTGGCTCAAACCTGTAATCTCAGCACTTTGAGAGAACAAGGGGGAAAAAAATCACTTGAGGCCAGGAGTTCAAGACCAGCCTAAGCCACATAGTGAGACCTCGTCTTTAAGAAAAAATTTTTTAGAGAATCATCTTGTGCAGCTTAGGAGGCCCTGCCAGGCTCTATAATCCCAGCACTTTGGGAGGTCCAGGTGGGTGGATCACCTGAGATCAGGAGTTTGAGACCAGCCTGACCAACATGGTAAAACCCCGTTTCTACTAAAAATACAAAAATTAGCCAAGCGTGGTGGCAGGCGCCTGTAATCCCAGCTACTCAGGAAGCTGAGGCAGGAGAATCGCTTGAACCTGGGCGACAGAGGTTGCTGTATGTGGAAATTGCGCCACTGCACTCCAACCTGGGTGACTCTGTCTCAAAAATAATAATAACACAAAAAATTAGCTAGGCATGGAGGCATGTGCCTGTAATCCCAGCTACTCGGGAGGCTGAGGCAGGAGAATCAGTTGAACCTGGGAGGTGGAGGTTGCAGCGAGCTGAGATTTCGCCGTTGTACTCTAGCCCGGGTGACAAGAGCAAAACTCCATCTCAAAATAAATAAAAAAAAAAAAAAAAAAAAAGGCACGGAGGAGATGGGTGTGGTGGCTCACACCTGTCATTCCAACACTTTGTGAGGCCAAGGTGGGTAGATCGTGAGGTCAGGAGTTCGAGACCAGCCTGGTGAAACCCTTCTCTACTAAAAATACAAAAATTAGCTGGATATGGTGGAGGCGCTTGTAATCCCAGCTACTCGGGAGGCTGAGGCAGGAGAATCCCTTGAACCCGGGAGGCGGAGGATGCAGTGAGCCGAGATCACGCCCCTGCACTCCAGCCTGGGCGACAGAGTGAGACTCCATTTCTGGGGGTAAAAGGAAAAAGAATGGCATACATCATTTATAATTCCATGTGCTTATTATATCGGGGTGTGTGTTGAAAATCTCTCTGGTGAAGGGAGGTCTAAGGTCAAACACACTGAGGAATGCAGTGTTGCTGTTTCCGCATCAGATGGACACTGCGCCAGCCTCAGAACTAGGTTGGAGGGAGATGTATCTCACACGTTGAGAATGAATCCCCAGCGGGCACGCTTCTGAACTAGAAAGGGATCAGAAACCCACGTTCCTAATGACAAGCAACTCCAGATCCCCCCGGCCGGCCCGGAGCCTGGTGCTTTTCTTATTCAGCACAGGAACACAGCGAGGACCAGAGGACCTGGCACCTGGTGGGTGACAGGGTAGGAACTCCACTCTGGGTGGGCCTTTATGGAGCCACACAGCACACCTGAAGCAGGTACGACCAGGATATCCTTCTGTGTGGAGCTCAGCCCAGTGGCCCACCTGCCCACTTCCTGTCCCCCAGGGACCCGCGCTAACCTGCCCAGCAGCCGGAGCTTCCTCGGGCCATACTTGTCCATGACGATGCCCAGCGGCAGGGTGATGGCACTGAGCAGAAAGGAGCCCACGGTGAAGGCCAAGTTCAGCATCTCATCCTGGGCCTGGCAGCTGAGCCAGCCGTTCATCCAGCTCACGTCCTCATGCCCCGGCTCTGCCGTGCCACCCACTGTGCCATTGGTGACATTCTCTGTGTGAAGAGGGAAGAAAACCCTGACCTCAGGGTCACAGCAGGGGCAGGTGCCCACTCAGAGCCCCCCCACTGGGAACGCCAGGGCTGGCTCAGGGGCTTGCCAGGGCTCAGGCTACCCCGCAGCAGGCTTGGATGGCCATTTGGCCCAAGTCCCTGGAGTGAAAATAACTTCTGTGGGGGCCATGGGCCCTTTGAAGAATCCATTATAGACCCAGGAAACGCACACCAAGTTTATCCACAATTTCAGGAGCTTCGTGTGTCCCTTGAAGAGCGAAGCAGCCCAGGTTGAGAGCCCTGTTCCAGCTGTTCTAGTGTATCCTCCACCCTGAATGGCAGACCTCGGGGTGGGGCCTCAGCCTTAGCTGGGAGCTCCTCACCGCAGCTGTGTCCATGGGACAGACTGCAGCCAGCAGGCGGGCAGACACCAGACCACCCGGGACGGACAAGCTGCTGGCGTACCCCAATACCCTGGTCCTCCTCTGTCAAGGTGGGGAGACTGAGGCACCTCCTTCAATGGTGAGCCTGGTGGCCTTCGCAAATGCAGAAGAACAGACAGATGCCACCTCTGCCCCTAAAATTTTCACAGCATCAAACACATGAACTGTGTCTTAGAACCACTTTGGAAAGTTTTTGTTTTTTTAATCATCCTATGTTATTTGCTTTCACTCACTGAGACACCCCCCCACTTTTTTTTTTTTTTTTTTTTTTTTTTTTTCTTTTTTTTTTTTTTTTTTTTCCTTTGTCCCCCCCCCCTTTTTTTTTTTTTTTTTTTTTTTTTTTTTGAAGACGGAGTCTCACCTCTGTCACCCAGGTTGGAGTGCAGTGGCACGATCTCGACTCACTGCAACCTCCATCTCCCAGGTTCAAGTGATTCTCCTGCCTCAGCCTCCCCAGTAGCTGAGACTACAGGCACCTGCCACCACGCTCAGCTAATTTTTGTATTTTTAGTGGAGACAGGGTTTCACCATGTTGGCCAGGCTGCTCTTGAACTCCTGACCTTAGGTGACCCGTCCGCCTCGGCCTCCCAAAGTGCTGGGATTACAGGCATGAGCTGCTGCGTCCGGCCAAGATGCACCTTTCTAATTTTCCTTGTTGGGATCACCGTGTTGCCACCCTGTGCCCACACCCAGACCCCGCTGCGTGCTGTGCCTCCGAGTCTGGTGTGTCTGACACACCCAGCCCTTAATGGCCCCCTCCAAAGTCCACCCAGCCACCCAACAGCACAAAAAGGAAGAGAAAAGTGCTGTGGCAGCGGAGGGCAGGAGGGCGGAGGATGGGCCGGGAGCGCAGCGGAGGAGCTCTCCTCGCCGGGACTGCTAGTTAAGAGATGCTGACTAATCCTGCAGAAAACAGGAGCAGACTTTGATTAGATGCGAGGTCACACTGGGAGAGTGAAGGAAACGCTTTTCTCCAGATAACTGCCTGCCTTCCAACTGCAGCCCTCTGGCGCCAGGGCCGTGGAGCTGAGGTTTGCAAAGGCTTGCTCAGGCCTCTCGGGGCTGCCCCAAGGTCACTGGAAGGGACAGGGGTGGAATCGGGCCTCGTGCCAGCGTGTGACCAGGGAGCCCCGCCGGGGGCAGGTGGATGGAGAGCGCGGTGCTAGAATCTGGCTTCCAGGTTCCAATTTCGGTTCCTCCACCTTCTACCGACATGACCTTGCTCTGGCTCGGTTTCCTCATCCACAAAATGGAATCGTATAATAATAACATCCACCTCCTAGAGTTTAGGGGAAGAGCCACGAGAAAATCCAGAAAACCAAAGAAAACGGAAAAAAAGAAAAAACAACAGGAGAAAATCCAGAAAACCTTCTGGAGTTCACCTAGGCATAGAAAGCACCCAATAAAGGCAGGGCGCAGCGGCTCCCGCCTGTCACCCCAGCACTTTGGGAGGCTGAGGCGCACAGATCATGAGGTTGGGAGTTCGAGACCATCCTGGCCAACATGGCGAAACCCTGTCTCTACTAAAAATACAGAAATTAGCTGGGCATGGTGGTAGCTCATGTCTATAATCCCAGCACTCTGGAAGGCCAAGGCGGGCGGGTCACCTGAGGTCAGGAGTTGAAGACCAGCCTGACCAACATAGAGAAAGCCTGTCTCTACTAAAAATACAAAAATTAGCCAGGCATGGTTGTGGTGGGCACCTGTAATCCCAGCACTCTGGTAGGCCGAGGCGGGCGGGTCACCTGAGGTCAGAAGTTCAAGACCAGCCTGGCCAACATGGAGAAACCCAGTTTCTACTAAAAATACAAAAATTAGCCAGGTGCTGTGGCTCACGCCTGTAATCCCAGCACTCTGGGAGGCCAAGGCAAGTGGATCACCTGAGGTCAGGAGTTCAAGACCAGCCTGGCCAACATGGCAAAACCCCATCTCTACTAAAAATAGAAAAATTAGCCAGGCGTGCACCTGTAGTCCCAGCTACTAGGGAGGCTGAGGCAGGAGAATTACTTGAACCGGAGAGGTGGAGGTTGCAGTGAGCTGAGATTGCACCACTGCATTCCAGCCTGGGTGACAAAGTGACACCCCATCTTGAAAAAAAGCAAAACCAAAAGTGAAACCAGATCACAACGGCCAAAAGGCAAAGGATCAAGAGAGGAATCAACAGAACCAAGCTGAGTCTCGGGGGATTTAAGGAGATCAGAGCCACAAGGTGAACCACTCAAAGCCTTAGAAACAAAACCTCACAACCTGATTCTCTGCTCTGCCAGTTTCTCTTGGTTTCCCAAAAGAAGCCCCCCCACACTGTCAGCCAAAGCACGTGGCACGCAGGGTCCTCAAGCCAGCAGCAACAGGAATTGGCTCTGAAGTCGGAGGAGCAGGGTGTCTACACAGCAACAGTCATTTCCAGGAGGACATGCAGAGAGGAGCAAACTAGCACTGAAGTGACAGAGGGGACGGGTGGAGAGGGCGCTCCAGGGCTCGGGAGGGTGGCCTGTGGGGCCGTGCAGGGTCTGCAGGCAGCACCGCCCATGGGCAAAGGCATGGGGACCTCCAGTTACCCCAGGGAGGAGCCACAGCTGGGTCCCTAAACCCATGGCTTTTCTCATCTAGAGCCAGAAGGTAAAAATCCCAAGGCTCTGTACCCGAGGCAGCCTCCTTGATTTTTTTTTTTTTTTAAAGATGGGGTTTCACCATGATGGCCAGGCTGGTCTTGAACTCCTGACCTCAAGTGAGCCACCCGCCTCGGCCTCCCAAAGTGCTGGGATGACAGGCCTGAGCCACCGCGCCCGGTCAGCCTC